CCCTTTTGATTGCCCGAGAATTTCTTTTGCCTATTTCTTCATTTCCAATGTGGAAAACCAGTAATGGATAATAATTGAAGGGCTTAAGCAGGCTGCCGATGCTCCTGGCAACATCTCTCATCCAGACACCAGGCAGGCAATACACTTCCCTGTGAGAGGGATCTGAGTGGCATATCAGGCTTTTGATTCCCCTCAGAAGGGAGTCCACTATGATGACAGCCCTTCTTTTTTCCTGACTGACACTGCAGCAAAATGGGGATCAGACTGACCAGCCTTGGACAACCTCTCCTGCCTGGATGGACTTTCACCGACATCCACATCCCCAGCTCCAGGCCTCACACCTGCTATGTAAGGGCACCTGGGAAGGTGGACAGGCTGAGGGGCAGTCTGCTTGCTGCCCCCAACAGGGACTTCTTTCCATCTGATGCTGTCGTCGAGGTCGCCCCTTCCCACCTGACCATGAGAAGGCAGACGATCCCCCACCACTTGAGATGCATTTTGCCCAGACCCTTCCTGTAGCGATGGCAGAGTGCAACTCCACCAACCCATTCCCTTCCCACAAGCCCAGATGCTCCTTAGCCTTTCTACTTCCTCCTTTAGCTCCACCCCCTGGCTGAGCAGATCATCCACCAGCTCACACTGCACACCTGGCTGCCCTCCTGTAGCAGTGACAGCAGCCTGAGACCTGAACTGCAGCATGGTTCATGCTTTCAGTCTCAGTCTCCATGTCCCCTTTAGCAGCAGCTCGCCGCCGGGTGGTCACCATGGTTGCACCTCGGTGTGTCCAGAGAGCAACGACCCGTTAAATGACCCGTTAAGTGCTAAGTGCTAAACCCCTTCCTGTACGGCAAGGTGACCCGCCTTGCCTGCTCGCTGACTGCTCGGGGTTTTGTCCTGAAAATCACTTTTCACATCGAGATAACAACCCATCTCCCTGTGTAGTGACGCGATTAGTTGGCTTACAGTTTCGCTTCGTCAAAACAGCGCACGTGATTCCCACACCCGCACTCCTCTCCCTGTCCCGGAGGCTTTTTCAAGGCAGGGCGCGTCCCGCATCACGTCAGCCGTTCTCGGGAGAACTGCGGGGCTGCTCTGTTACCTCGCGGTTCCCTGGATGAGGGAACCGACTGAAACCCCCGTGTACGTGGCGATCAGTCGCTACGGTTTTGACTGGGACAGCTTGAAGCGGCTAAACTCCACGATTTGAGCATTTGCATACGTGCGATATGTCTTATTTGTTTTGAACCAGCTTATAACAGTCTTTTATGCGTATGTGCATTTTATATGTGTAGCTTAGGTGCTTTTTCTTCTCGTCTCATTGCAGCCTGACTTTTACCTGCTAGCACCTGGGACTGAGGGCAGGTCTGTAGCTACAAGCCAGGTCTCCTGTTGAAGAGAAGCTTTCTCTCACTGACCCCTGCCAAGGCCCCCATAACTCCCTTTGACTATCGCAGTACTAAGTTTGGATGTTTCACCTATTTCTACCTGGAAAAACTTAAGACCAAGAAATGCCTTGTAAAATAAGGTCTACATATCTGCTCTTCCAATGATTTAGGTAAGAATCGTACTGAAAATCATGGTATCAAAGTAAATGGGGGAAAACTGCTAAATTACAGGAAGATTTGAGTCTTTAGACTAAAATGCAGAAATATCAGAACATATGGTAATAATGTTGGGTAAAAAAAACGTTCTGAAAAATTTAATGTTAATATTCTGAGAATAGTGTGCACTACTTATTTTTCCTCCGGCAAACTAGCCTGACACATTGGTAGTGCCAACTGGGTTGCCTGATCTCCTGCAAACACTGAAGTTGTAGCCAGAATGATCATGAATAGCCAAGATCTTGTGAAAATTCTGTTTCTTTCATCTCAGAATAAGATAGGGTTTCATTAAGGAGGATCAGATTGCAGCATAGGAGAGAGTTCATGTGGAATATCAAGGAAAAGTTTATTCCCAAGATGGAAGTAAGTGAGTATATGTGACCCAGAGTAGGATAATATTAATGTTCTCTAGAAACCAAACTCCAAACAAATTGTATAGTCCTGTCCTCAGCGGAAACCTATCCCTGAAAGATATCCAAAGAGTCCATGTGTTTTTACACATTGGAAACACTTGCAAAGTTTGTCATGCCAAGTATAATTGAACTGAACCCAACTGAAATTGTAATAGCAAAACCAGCAGCAGGAGAGGTAATTTGTAATTTCTTTAAAACATTTGTAATTTTTAATTTATTAAACAACCTCTGAGTATATATTTCTAATATATTTCATGACTTCTTCATTTACTATGGTTTCTGCAGCTTGCATTTGTTATCATCACCCTATCTTCTCTGTATGAAGAGTTTCAATACAGATGAGAAGAAGAGAATCCCAAAACAAAGTCATAAACATATTACACAATATTCACAGTTCTGTAAATCGCTTCTGAGGCTACTGCTTCTACTCCTACCACATTCACTTTCCATATCAACAAGAAGCAGGAAAAAAGAGGAAATTCTTGATCTTTCCCTCAAAAGTGCATCTTCAGTAATGGATCTTCCCAGAAGAAAGAAATCATGATGTTCCTTTGTCCATGTGCATCAAGAAGTGCTCCTGACCTGGAGTTCTTGGCACTATACGCTTTAAGCACATGCATGTGAGGTTTGGTCAGCTCTTCCCAGGCTTCATATGGGCTGGGATCTGGGTCACCACATTCATGTGGTGCTTACATGAAACAAAATTTTCTGTTTGCCAGTCAGCCCCCTTAACAAAGGGGTAGACCAATACATGCATACCTCTTTTTAGTCAACTCAGTGCATGATATGGTAAGGTTATATTATAAAATTCTACTACATCCAGACATTGTTCATCACATGAGCTTATGTAAACAGTCTCTATGACCTAACATCTATTTTTTCAAACCATGTTATTATTTCATGGAGTTTATTAAAAAAAAAAAAAAAAAAAAAATTCCTTTCCAGTCTGTATATTTACTTTTGTCTTTCATTTTAGTCCTCTAGTATTCTGAATCACTGCTTTCCTGAGATATTCTTGCAAAAAATAGTTTAATATAGCTTTTCAGTTTCTCTATTGTTTTTCTGAAAGTGATTGAGGTCAGATGTAACTGAACAAGATATCCCTTGCTTTCCTCTAGCCAGCAAAAACATTTTCAAACATTGTTATTCACAGTGGATACTGTTAGCCTGAAGAAGCTGGTTTCTCTCCAGGCAGTGAAGAGACAGGGACTTCCTCCCAAGGGATCATCACTGATGGATGATGCCCACAGATGATCCACTGACTGTAGACTCTACAGTAGAGGATTTATGGATTTATTTAGCTGGCACTGATGTTGAAGATATGATTTTGGCATTTCAGCCAATGAAGAGACCAGAAATAGGCACAATCAGCCAGAGGGGAGTTATAACCGAATGGAGAATCATTGAGTAGTAAAGCTGATATTGGTAGATCCATCTCTTCCTTCTATACAGATGGGATGTGATACACACAGTTGTAGGAAAGAAGCCATATCTGAAAAAGAGAATCATAGAATCATATAACTTTTTTAGTTGGAAGGGATTATTAAAGATCTAGTCCATCATACCTGCAGTGAACAGGATACCTAGTGATAGAAGGGGTTGCCATGACCCAGGTGCAAGACACTGCACTTGGATTTATTGAATCTCATGTAGTTCGTGTCTAGGTCCATCTGTATGATACCCCATCCCTTGGGCACATCAACAGCAACAACATAGCTTAGTATCACCCACAAGGTTCCCAAGGGTGCACTGGTGATTTTATGAATGAAAATATTAATTCTGTGATTAAAGAGCATGGGTCCCAGTACTGACCCTAACAGACACCACTCACTCCTGATCTCAATCTGGATATTGAGCCACTGACCACCATTCTCTGGGTATGATCTCACAATTAGATCTTCATCTGTCAAACAATCCACCCATCCATACCTTTTCAGTTAGGAAAGAAGAATATTATGGGGGACCACGTTGAAGGCCTTATTGAAGTCCTGGTGGATTATGTCAGTGGCTTTTCCCTTTGTCCGGTGATTCAGTTATGCCATCATAAAAAGCAACATGACATGCTTCCAAGATTTAAGCTGAGGGAGCAATGATTAGGTCATTGCTGACGTGCTATGAACTTGGGTCACTCTGGTATAAGTCATATCTGCACTGGAGGCCAGTTCTAACCTTAATCTATAAGCAAATCTGTGAAAGGAGTGAAAACACTTCCTACCAATGTTTTGTGGCTGACAGAGGCCACAAAGGGGACCTGGCCTTTCCAGTTTGTCAAGATTTGTTTCTACTGAGGCAGCATCTCTGTCACTCACCACAAAACACAAATACAAGTCTTTGAAGATTAGGATCAGAATCTAGTACACTCTGATGAACATAATTACTCTCCATTCAGAAGAATTGCAATAAGTAATTAAATATCTTTCAGAAACAAGACAGATGTAGGAGCCATCAGTGAGTACAGGCTGGTAATGTTTTTATGTCCTGCATTTGACTTATGTATGCACAGGTGAATATGCACAGGTATATAAATAGGACACTCTGAAACTAATGCCTCTATTTATTTCACTGGAAACTACAACAGATACAAAGACTGAAATAACACTATTTGATAGAGAAAATTCTCAGCTACAAAATGTGAATTTTCAATTATGGTTTTTTGTTTGTTTGTTTGTTTGTAAAACTAAATAATTATCTTAATCATTGTTCCACAGGGGTCAAAACCTGAAGTTTATACATTAATTTTAAAATATAAAATTATTTTGTTTAAATATAAACATAGCTTCTATCTCTAGGACACAGCTTAATTGGAAAATTATTTTAAGTAGATTGCACCAATCCAGAAAAAGTATGCTCATATGAATGGAAAAGTGTAAGCACTATAACACACAGAAGAAATAAAACTGAGGTTGTTTCCATTCTAACCATTACATAAAGCAAACTTTTGGCTTTGTCATTTTAAGATTCTTCTCTTCCTTTCTTTTCACTGTAGGTTAATGTCTTTCCAGATTGGTGCCATGCTCTGCCCTGCTTCATAGGTCAACCCAAGAGGTGCTTTTTGGGCTGCACTTCACCTACTCACTCCTCTTCATTGTTACAGTAATAAATTTTTCAGTATCCTGCTGACTTATTTGGGCATATCTGAGTTGGCCAGTCTAGCTTTCAGAGTTCAACAAGGAGTATGGAAACACTCAGTGTTCCCTTCCAATCTCATGTTATTACATATAACGTGAATGTCATGCCACTCGTCAAGCTACAGCAGCATCTGTCTTGTGATCCCTGTCAGACTCTGCAAGTCTAGACATTTTGCCTCTGACAGAAAGTAAAGGTGGCTTAAATGGGGCAAGGCCAGGGCAGGAGAGTATGTGTGTTTACCTTGACCCCAAAGTACCTTTAAAAATGCATAAATAAATAGGAAAAGGTGCAGAATCCAATCATGCGATCTCAGTGGTGTAAGTTACACATCATGTATCTGTCGGTCAGGAAACAGGTGTATGTGGGTGTAAGTGCCAAAGCTGTTTGACTTGCAGCAAGTTGGCATTTAGTGGGAGTGCAGTGTGAGTGTAACATACACTCCCAGATATGGAATAACAAGTGAGGGGGATGTAGTGAAGCAACTAGATCATCAAAGAGTTAAGCAAATTTGCAGTACCCACAGGAAAAAAAGAAAAATTCAAGATACTGCATATTTCACTGTTGATTTTTTTTTTTTTTTCCATTCATGTCCACAGTGTCAAATCTGCTGTTGATTGTGCAGAGGGACTGCACAAGCTCCCTACTGTTATTCTTAGTACCACTTCTGCCCCCCTTGAATCGGCATCTAGAACAGCTGCAAGATATTTTGCAACCAGACGCAGGTTTCCTCTTCCTGTTCTCTGAGCCAACCAGATGCAAACTGGCCTCAAACCAGAAGCCATGTAGCTACAGTTAGCAGGCACACAGCCCAAGCTAACAAGCCTTGCTGAGAAGGCAGGATGTATTTGCTCAGGCTCAGCACTGTGCTACTGCAGCTACACAGTCTCTGCTGAGCTCAGAGTACAGGCAATGCCTGTTCCTGGCTACCAGGACCGCAGGCAAAAGCTACTGATATCACTATGAGAAGTAGAAGAAATGTCAGAAAGTTATGGATTTCACCTTTGGCTCTTAAATAAACCAGAGGGCCCCTACAACAGTTTTTTGAGACACATATTTTAATACATGCATACGTATATATATATATGTATATATATATATATATATATATATATCTTGAATATATATATGGGTCCTGGTGCAGGTTTCAGGAACTCCTAGCAGCAGGAGGCCAGTAGGCCAGTAAAATAATCTGGAAGTGGATACAATGGGTAATCTTTTGTGCCTTCTGAATCATCTCAACAGCATTTTGTATATTCTGTGTTCTGGCATAAATAATCACCTGGACAGGAAAAGGAGCAAAAAAAATCAACTTGAAAAATGCTATACTGCCTTGGTAGAAGAGAAGGGAAATTGAGGGAGATCTCCAAAGATTTGAAAATGCTTGTAATAAGCACTTACATTTTTTCAGTAAATTTGCCCATCAGTAGTCAAAGGTCTTATTCACGTATCACGTGTATTTTCCCTGATAAAATTGCCTTTTCTTCTGGAAGATGCATCTCATTTTAAATTGCTGCCAACTCTAATCAAAACCACCTACGCAACAATACTGAGTTTTTTTTTCCCACCTCAGTCTCCTAAAAGATTTTCTTTTAGGATTGCACAAAATTGCACATAAGAAATTCAATACATAGGGATAAAAGAATTTAAATGAACAAGGCCCAGGTCCCATGTATGTGTATTTCAGTGCTCCAGCACCATTTCTGGCAGACACTTGAAGATTTACCCAATGATTAAGGTGTTCCCCTGCTACACATAGATCTTTCACAGCGTTAGAAGCTTTCTTTCCTCTGATTACACTGGGTTTTAATTTATTTTTCTGCGTGGAGTAATTTTTCTGCGAGCAGTACATTTTTTCAGAAATTCACACAGTAAGCTGTTGAGGTCTTGATAGAGCTTATCATACTGTGTAATAAAATTCCTCAGGTATTTATAAGGGAAGCTTATGGGATAAAAGTTTAGAGAAGGCTGGTTGTGCAACCCAGTATAACTGATGGAATGATGTACATACCTTATCTTCCTGTGAATTCAGACTGTGCCTGTTCTTTTGTTTCTTCTTTCCCCTACAAAAGGAATAGCTTCCCAGAACACTCCAGCTCCAGTGATGGGCCATTTTGCTGGCAATTCAGGTTGGATACAGCCCACTGGCCAAAAACTGAACAGGTCGTTCACACTGAATGAGCACCTGAAGATGATTCACATGTAGCAAGTGATAATAAAAAGCTTCTTCAGATGTAAAGGACATTTTTAAAATAAGATGTTACTGAAAGTTTAGGGTCAGAAAGATATGGGTAAGATAGATTTTCCCGCAGTTCTTTTCTTCAGATAGTATATCTTTAAGAAAATATAACTTATTAGGCATTTATAAGGTAGTTTAATACTGAGAGTTATTTAGATCTGATATTCCATGAAAGTTTTACTTCTTACTCTATCCAAAATGAGTATATTGAAGAGGTTAGCAGATATCCCCTTCCAATGAAATTATTAATGACCTGTTCAAAGAAACTGTACAAAAAAAAAAAAAAAAAAAAAAAGAGAAAAAGAGAGACACAAAAAAGAAAAAAATACACAACATCAATACCTCTTATTAACCATGGCTTTTAGATTAACCGTGGCTTGCAGCAAGATAGTTCACAGGTGCATCAAATACTGCTCTTACCCAGCAGGTTATTGAAATTAATCCAGCCCAAATAGAGAGATAAAGTGCATCCTCAGCAAGTTTGCTGATGATACGAAGCAAGGAGGAATGGCTGACAGACTAGAAAACTGTGCTGCTGTTCAGCAAGACAGAATAACCTGGATAGACTAGAAGGTTGGGCAAAGAGGAGCCTGATGAGGTTCCAGAACGTCAGGTATAGAGTCCCCTAAGCTTGTGGAGGAACAATGCATGCTCATGCACGCATCAGTGCAGAACAGGGGCTGACCTGCTAGAGAGGAGCTCTGCAAAGAAGGATATGAATGTCGTGGTGGCCAATGGTTTAGCCAGCAGTTTGCTCTTGTGGTGAAGACCAGTGGTCTCTGGAGTGTATTAAAAAGTGTATGGCTGCTAAAAAGAGCAGGTTGAAACACATCTGGAGTACTGTGCCCTCTTCTGTGCTCCCCATTTGAGGAAAAACAAAGATCTCCTAGAGAGAATTCAGTGGAGGGCCACAAACATTATAAGGGGCCTGGAGCATCTCCATTATGAGGACTGTTGAGAGACCTGGGACTGTTCAGTCTGGAGAAGAGAAGGCTGAGAGGGGTGTCATACAAATACTTAAAAATACCTAAGGGGCAGGTGTCAAGAGAATGGTGCCAGACTCTTTTCAGTGATGATCTGCAACAGAACAAGGACAACAGGCACAAGCTGGAATTCAGGAAGTTTCATCTGATGTAAGAAATAATTTCTTTACTTTGAGGACAGCAGAGCACTGGAACGGGCTGCCCAAAGAGGTTGTGAAGTCTCCTCTTCTAGAGATCTTCAAAACCCACCTGGATGCTTTCCTGTGTAACCTACTGTAAGGAACCTACTTCAGCAGGTTACTGAACTCAAGGATTTCCAGAGGTTCCTTCCAACTGCTACAGTTCTGAGATTCTGTGAAAGTGACTGAAATGCTTGCCTTTCTGAAGTTACATAATAAAGCATTTAAAACAGGTTGGAAGCTTAAATCTCCTTTAATTCACTTATAGAGTGGCAAATTATTATTATTATTATTATTATTAATGGAATAATTTAACTTCAGATGTTATAAAGCTTTGACCAAGAATTTGGTGCACTCTAGAGGCTGATGTTCAGTTATCTTTGGAATCTTAATAGCAAGTTGGGGTCACAGAATCATGGTCACAGAATATTTTTTTTTAAAGCTCCCATGTAGCACATGAAAGATCCTAAGCATCTCAGCATAACATTCAAATAAGTCAATAAGAATAGCTTCAACAGGTTAGCATACTTAGGTTGGATCTTCCTCGTCCCGTCCCCACCTGCCCATCTCCACACACACTCGGCCTTACCAGGCTTACACTCAAAGAGACTCTTTTCCAACTCCTATGTCATGTTTACCCTTATATTTTCAAATTAAGGTTAAAGCTTAAGTGAATTAAGTGAATTAAGTAAATTTTGGAAGAGGATGTAATGACAGGATGAGGGGAAATGGTTTTTAGCAGGATGAGAGTAGATTTATGCTAGGTACTAGGAAGAAATCCTTTACTGTGAGGGTGGTGAGACATTGGAATGGGTTTCCCAGAAAGGTTGCAGATGACCCCTCCCTGAAGCATTCAAGGCCAGTCTGGATGGGGCTTTGAGCAATCTGATCTAGAGAGAGGTGTCCCTGCCTGTGGCAGCAGGTTGGAACTTGACAATCTTAAAGGTCCCTTTCAACCCGAACCATTCCATGGTTCTGTGATTCTGTAACATGTTCTATAAAGGAGTGACTAATAGTCTTCTGAATATGGATCTGATTTCTACTCTCATATATGTTGTTTTTATACCAGTGTAACTCCACTGATAGCAGGGTGTTGTTACTGATTTATACCAAGAAGACAGAGAATCAGGACTCCCTTGCTCTGAAAATGCGCCAGAATAGGTTGTCTAAACTGACTCCTCCCCAACACTTTCCTTTCTCTAGCTTAAAGTGAATTATTTCAGAAATTGTTTTTTTGTTGGATTGTTATTTCAGTGGTGCCTGCAATTAAAAACTATCTCACTAAACAAACTGTAATTACTGCAAATTGTAGTAAGCAGTGGTAATTCATATGCCTTAGTAAAGCTGGATAGTTTTAAGATGGCCTTTAAAAAAATGAATTCATGACTTAGTACAATGTCACATCAGTCTGACAGTCTTTAAAACACAGAGAACAGCTATTCCTTATAATGTAGAGAGTGTGCACTGGTATTGAAACGATTTATAATAAGACACAAGTATGTTACTACATAGCTTGTGTGCAGTCACCCCCACTGGAAAACTGCCATAGCTGTAACGCACTCATGAAGGGGGTCTATGCGTGGGTGTCTGCCCCTGAGCCTCAGGGAATGAAGGAAGCCTAGGAAATGAAGGAGCTTGAGGAAAACCTGAGTTAAACCTTTCATAGATGTTCTTGGTATTTATTGCTCATGCTTTTCCTGCCAACTTGGTGTCATCTGCAAGCTTAGGTGTACTCAGTGCCCTGATCCAGGTCATCAATAAGGATTTTAAACAGGACAGGCCCCAGCACCAACACTTGAAGAGCACCACTCATGACTAGTCATCAGCTGGATTTAATTCCATTCACCACCACTCTCTGGGCCCAGCCCTCCATCCAGTTTCTTACCCAGCCAAGAGTGTGCCTGTCCAAGCCATGGGCTGTCTGCTTCTCCAGGAGAATACTGTGGGAGACAGTGTTGAAGGCTTTGCTGAAGTGCAGGTAGACCACATCAACAGCCTTTCCCTCACTCAATCATAGAAGGATATCTAGTTGGTAAAGCAGGAGCTTTCCGTCACAAACCTATGCTAGCTAGACCTCATCCTCCGCACATGCTGTGTTATCTCTCTTAAGATAATCCATAACTTTTCCCAGCACTGAGGTCAGGCTGACAGACCTGTAGTTCTCCAGATCCTCCTTACAACTCTTCTTGTAGATGAGAGTCACATTGTCAAGCCTTCAATCCTCTGGGATCTCTCCGGTTGACCAAGAATGTTGATAGATAATGGAAGGTTTCTTGGCTATCACCTCTGCAAGCTCTATCAGCACCCTCGGGTGGATCCCATCCATCCCCATGGACTTGTGGCAGGGTAGGTGGAGTAGTAGGTCTCTAACCATTTCCACCTGAATTGTGGGGGGCTTATTCTGAGACTTCTGGCTCAGGTTGTAGAGTATCCCAAAGATAACTGATCTGACTTTTAAAGACAGATTTAAAGAAAGCATTGAGAACCTCACCCTCTTCCATATCCTCAATGGTCACTCTCCCCACCAGAATCACAGAACTGTAGGGGTTGGAAGGGACCTCTAGAGATCATCAACCCCCCTGCCAAAGCAGGTTCTCTAAACCAGGTCACACAGGTAGGCATCCAGGCGAGACTTGAACATCTCCAGAGAAGAAGACTCCTCAATCCCCCTGGGCAGCCTGTTCCAGTGCTCCGTCACCTTCACCGTAAAGAAGTTCTTGCACACATTCGTGCAGAACTTCCAATGCTGCAGCTTAAGTCTGTTAAATCCAAATCCAGAAGAGGATGGAGATCCTCCCTAGCCCTCCTCTTATTGTTAATATATTTGTAAAAATATATTTTTGTTCTGTTTTACTTCAACAGCCGTGCTGAGTTCAAGCTCGGCTTTTGCTTTTCTTTCTCCCTGCACATCCAAGCAACTTCTTCATATGCTCCCTGAGTTGTCCATCCCTTCTTCCACAAGAGGTAAATTCTCTTTTTCTCCTGCAGCCTCAGGAAGAGCTCCCTGTTAATTGATGTCGGTATTCTTTCCTGTTGATGTGTCTTCTGGCTCAGTTGTATACCCTGTTCTTGTACCTTTAAGACTTTCTTCTTGAGCAAAAGCAAACAGCCTTTCTGGACCTCTTTACTCTTCAGGACTGAATCTCAAGAGATCCTCCCTACCTGTGTCTTGAGCAGTTCACAATCTGCCCTCTGGAAGACCAAGGCAGCAGTTTTGATGCTGCCCTCTCCTGACTTCACCAAGAATTGGGAACTCTACCATTTCATGGTCACTCTGTCCAAGTCAGCTCCTGATCTCCAATCTCCCACCAGCCCTTTTCTCTTTGTGAACAGCAGGTTTAGGAGGGCAGCTCCCTGGTAGGCTCTCTTACCAGCTGCATTAGAAAAGTTATTTTCCATACCCTCTAGAAACCTCCTAGACTTCTTCTTCTGCACTG